CTTGCAGATTTCGTTTGGATCTGTCTCCTTAAAATCTTTAGCCCAAAATCACAAAGGCTTTCTATGAGATTTCATCACAGACAACACAGAACCAAAACATCAGCCCACTCAACATTCTCCTCATCTTGAGGGGTCGGTCTTTATTTTTCTGCCCTCTGCACCCAGCAAACACTTGTCCTGAGCACCTTATGGGTTATGGAAAATATTATGGCCTCTATTGGCACAGAACAGTTGAATAAGGATTCTCCAGCAATTCCACGGAGTGCTGAGAGCATTTTTCATATGGCCACTTTTTATTTTCTGAGACAAAATCAGAAGTTGTTAGGAACTGTGTCCCTTTTTTCTCAAATAACCAAATGCTCCTTTTACTACCCCCTGTTCCAAGAGGTCTCCAGATCTTTTAACCAACAATTTCAAGGACCATAGTTTTGAGAGTTTCAGCACTTCCACAAGACATAAGGGAAACAAGACAGACAGATAAGGAGAGGAGGAGTAGACACCGCTGAAAACTTTTCCAAAGTTTTCCATTTAACAAAGGGAGTAGCAAAACTTGTGCTTCATTAGAGTCAATCAATGAATACTAAAGATGACAGTCAACATGGCAGCCACATGGCTGCCCCATAGTTATGGGAACGGTTCACTTCTCACATGGCACTTAGAATCAGGGCCATAGTGTCCGGTTCAGAGAGGTGTCTCAGCTAGCAGATTGTTCCACGTTCTATTCCCTCGGATCCATACTCTGAGCTTGGTTTAGCTGTTCTACACAGAAAAAGGGAGTTCTGAGCTAGTAAAGATTTCATTCCCACGTGCTGACCACTTTAATGAACAGCTTCACCTTGCCAGCATAATGCTCTTTAAATTGACCATCCTTGCAGTACTTGTGCCTTTTGATCCACTGCGTCTCATAAAACTGGCTAACCTTTAAGTTCATTATGTTCTTAAAAATATCGCTATGTTCTTAAAATCATTGCTCAGCATTTAGAGAGTGAACCTGTTCACCAAATTAGTATGTCATATCTGAGCTACCTACCTTCAAATATCTAGCTTCTCCATTTAAGTGGAATTGACTTGCCACAGCACAATGAAAAGAAGATCAATAATTACAGACTCCAATTTGCCATAGATTTGTTAAACTTCACTCCCTGCTGTCATATCCTCAATAGTTATGGTCAAAGCTACATCCTCACAATCTTTTCTAGCTACATTATATATGTCTCAGTCTTCCAAACATACAAAGGAAACCAGCTGGGAACACTGTACTTTATGCTAGCAGTGAAGACTGTATCCATCTACATGACTGTGCCCTCAAGAGGTTACAGACAGCATAACTCTCACCTCAGCTGTCATTTCTTTGAAGCAGTCCAAGAGACATGTCCAGGAAGACTCCTGAAAGACCGCAACAGCAGTTTGCCAGCTGTGGACTGCAGACCACTGATGTCCACTGCAGAAAAGACTGGCCCTGGGGAGTTGGACACTTGTCACCTACCACCAAATTGCCTTAGAAAAAGCTAAAAGCATTGTTTTTCATGCAATTTCTGTAATGGCTACAGAGCTGCCACATGTAATCATGTATGGGAAAGGAAGTGGCTTCCACAATTGCAAATGGCAGGAAAAGTCTGTGATGAAGTCTTTCTAGTTGGAACAGAAACTCGACATGTTTCATCCCAGAGTCATCTTAAAATATATGTATACTTTTAGGCAGGATCATCTGAAATAGCAAATACAAACTAAGTACACAGGATCAAGCAATATCCAAAGAGCCGTTCTGACTCTGCCTAGATCTGCAATTTCTCACAGGTTCTGCCATTCAGTTTTTATCAGAAGAGCAGATTTATGGTAAAAGCACTCATGAATAATTCACTCCTTTTGAGCTGCCACATGTAACTTGGGGAAATCCCAGCTATAAAACCTTGGCACCATTTAGCTAGCACAAGCTGCAGTACTTTTTTACAGGTGTAAAAAACTGACCTACTTGGAGTTATTCCTCTTTCACAGTGCTAGAAGAAAAGGATCAGGCTGTTTGCTTACCACCTCTGGTAAACAAACCTCTCTGCCACATCTTCATAGCAGTAAAAAAGCTTCTAGTGTTGGACTAAGTTTTAGCTTTGGCTCACCACAGCTTCAGTGGCTTGTACATCTCCCCTGCTCTTGGGCCTCCCATAATAATCCATTATCTGTTGGCTTACTTCCTCCTCAAGTCCATGTTTTTAAATCATGTTGAGAAACTTACTTGGATCTGAAACAAAAGGAGCACAAGTAAAGCCATAAACTAGCTACACTGAATTTGTCTTTATGCTGGTTTCTAACTTCAAGAGAAATACGGTTTATTCCAACACTCATCCTCTGCCACTGGAGCAAGAGCCCCAGCAGACTATGGGTGCAGATTGCTCAGACAAAAAAAAGAAAGTGAAACCATTTAGCCATCTCCCTGTCATAACGCAGAGGCTGAATTAATAGCATCACTCAGTGGCTGCTTATTTTCCTAGGCTTTTCGTTATATAAAGCTAGATGAAAGTTCTTCTTCACAATTAAAAAGAAAATTTATAAAGGTTTTATTTCATTAGATCTCTAAGTGGAGACCAACTAAAATGCCAATCGCTGCCACTAAGCCACATTCAAAGCCCACATCATGGTATACAGCTACACCTACAACTGCATTACAGGGAACAAAGAGCTGCCATTCCCTGTTTGTAAATAAGGTGAACAGCTCACGGCTATCTTGACATAAAATAAGATAATAATTATAGTGCCTAAGTTAGACATCTGAGTAAATGTAGTCATGTCATTTAAACAATTAACCTACACTGATTTATAGCAACTAAGGATCTGATGAGGGATGTAAGAAACTTGTCTTTACCCTAATACATCCCTTCAATTTATCCAAATTACTGTCTTTCACCACCTGGCCTCCCCTTTGTGCCCCACAGTTAGGTTTTAAGCAGGTTAAAAAATGACAGTTCTCACTTTGGTCTTTTCTTACACACTTCCAGCAGTGCTGAATGAAATGTGAGACAACCATAAAAGCCAGAAGAGGGGAAAATCAGACATGCTGCATAACTAATTTCTGAACTGTAAGCAAAGTTGTTGTCAATCTTCATTTCATATCACAGGTTCACATTTCTTTGAATTGCCACCTACTGAGAACAAGCACTACATGCTCATGCCCTTCTAGGCAGGATGCTGCCTGGTCACCTCGGACAAGCTTCAGGGGTTGCCGTGGTGTGTGGTCTGAAGGAGCCTCTCACTCCTTGTCCAGGAGTCACCATCTTGCCTCAGAGAAGGATGCACACCTTCAGCTCACGCCAGTGTCACAAGGAGCAGGGTTCCTCCTGCATCCCCCGGCCATATTCCCACTGCTGAATCTGCTGTGTTTGCTGGGGTGGCTGTAAGCAAACAGCTCCTTGCCATCTCTGTTCCACAGGCTCATGGGGGAGCACAGTCACAAGACAGGGGCCAAATGCAAATTAAAACCAGATGAGGCGAGACAGCAGTTGGAAAGAGGGGGTGGTTAAAGCCTGTGACAGCTCCAAGTGAAAAAAGTCAGACAAAGCGGGTTTGCAGATTGTCACTGAACTGAGAACCTCCTCCACCCCCAACTGCCTGGCTGGAACTGTATAATGGAGCAGGTTTCAAGAAACCACAGCTCCCAGCAGAGTTAACTCTCCAGCAGCTGCTGCACTTTCAAATTGTCAGACAGATTAAACACAGGAATGCCTGTGGGTCACAAAGCTGAGGGAACGGTATGATGGGGTCAGCTTGCTCTAAAGTGCAGAAACTACTCAAAAAGTTGGAGACAGGACTCTCTGCAGCCAGGAGGGAGTTACACTGGTATCATCTGGCCAAAGGCTTGGCACAGGGCCCTTTCCCAGCCTCAGCTGTCCTCACCAAGCTGGACAGTTAGTGGGGTTTTTGTCTTGTGCTTCCTTAGAAGCTGCAATCCCGGCATGTAACCACACTGCCCTTGCAGGGCAAGTGCCTGTTTGGAGGGGAGAGAAACGAGAGTTCCTCTACAGTCCACTCCTTTGGGGCATGAGCCAGGGCACCTGGCTGGGCCTGGATGCTTCAGGGCACCCAAAAAGCTGGCCCCTGCACTGCTTCAGCATCCAAAGCTCAGAGAAACACATTACCTTATGGGGGCAAGCACATGGGTGCAGTGGAGTGCTTGCATCAGGCAAAAGTGAGTGCCACTGATCCACATGTCACCGATGACGAGAGGGTGATGATTTACTGGGAAAACTGCCCTGTAAAAAGCATGCCTGTGGATCCTATTTATTGTCTCATACCCTTCAAATAATCTTACAGTTACAGAGACGCCACACAATTACAAGTTAGAAAAAGGAGCGGAGGTAATTCTCCCACACACTGTCTAGCCCATGGAGACAACAAACCTGTGGCACCATCAGCAGGCAGTGTGGGTCAGCTAGCCCAGCAGGGCTCTTCCTGGGAGATGGTGGGCCACCTCCACCAGGGTGGATAAACAATCCACACTTCAAACCTGGGCCAAAAGCTTGTTGCCAGATTCGTGCAGCTGCAGAGAGCAGAGCTGGAGGGAGCTCTGCCAGTAATAGGGGTAAGAAGGAGAAAGAAAGGTTGTTCCCACACAACACAGCCTCTCCTCTGCCAAACCACAACACTTCATGTGGATCTGTAGCCCACATGCTTCTCCAGGTACCTCCAACTCAGCTATGCTCAGCTGGAAACTACAACCCACAAAACTACTGTGAAGATGCAGGCCCACAGAAGTCGACTTACCATGCAGCTCTCAAAGGTGACAAAATGACCAGACAGGGACTTGAGCACAAGAGAGCACAGGATGCTGTGTCTTTGGGCCACATTTAGGCAGCCACACAAGCAGCTCAGTTGTTGAGGGAGCCAAGTGGTCTCCCTCACTAGGAAAAAGTTTGAATCACCCCCTCCTCTTCCCAAAGTGTCAGGAGAGTCTTAACATGAGCAAACAGATATCCTGGACATGCCCATCCTCTCACCACAAGAGCACTTACCCCCCAGGAACTGGATGCCTCCTGCCACCCTGCCCACAGTCCTGGAGATGAGCTCGGACACACAGCAGCCCATGAGCGCAGTCAGGGCCACCAAGAGAAGCAGCCCGCAGCCCAGGCCCGTCACCACCGTGCAGATCCTCCACTCGGCGCTCGGGATGGCCTGGAAGGAGGCATAGCGGCCACACTGCTCCACCATCACGGTCATCTGGCGGCTCTCATCCCGCACCGGGTAGGAACACCTCCGGAAAGTGCCGAAGGAAACAGACTTCTCCAGCTGAGACCCCAAGAGCCAGTAGGGCATGAAGAAGCCAACACAGGAGGCAGCAGCGCAGAGGAAGGAGAGGAAGGCCCAGACAACGCCGGCACAGGTGAGGCTGGAGGCCATCTTTGTGTCTGATCCAAGACCCCTCACGATGGGAAGACACAAAAGTAACTGTATTTCAGAGGAGCTTTATGGATAATCCGGAATCTCTCAGCCTTGACAAATCCTCACACTAGGAGAAGCTTGAATCCTAACAACCAGGGGAATATTTCCTCCCATCATGAAGTCAAAGGTCCCTAATCAAATAACAAAACACAAAAAAGGAGAAAAATACAAGTTCAGTAACACTGACATTAGAAAAAAGTATTTGTCTGCTAGAGTGCTTTTCCTTCCTAGAAGACTTCTGAATAAGATACGTCACTTTTCTGTCCTACCCTTGCAAGAAGACCCTACAATTGCTCTCAGTACACCAGCTCTTGTGGCCGGCAGCCCAGCTGCCACAGGCTGCTGTGCACATCCAGGAATGCTCTGCAGCCACCTTCAGGGGCTCCCTGTGAACTTGCCTCACTTTCCTCCACTCTAAGTCCCGATCTTTCCAATACCGATAGAAAAAATAGACGAGGTCTTGCTTATCCTTAGTTAGCCAGACCTTCCTCCTGCAATGCCTGCAGAACGTACTTCACTTTACAGATGTTCCTGCAGCTTCAGTGCAAAACCACCCACAGCGGCTAAGGCATTTCAAGATCAGACTCTTGTGACACAAGAGTAAAACTTATTAACACACTCCCAAAAGAAGTGATACGAGATGACATTTTTTCCAGCACTCTAAGTTGCTTTGCATCCCTGTGCAAAAGGAGCCTTTTACCACTTGATGTCCCAAAGTGCCAGGAATCCAATCTCCAGGTGGGCTTCTAGTAAGCAATGATACTGCCACATCTTTTGGATTCACCCCTACACAAGCTCAAGGAGAACACAATTAAAATACAGAGGTATCTCATAATATTCCCGCTTGCATTCAGCCCAGCTCTTCTTTGCCTCTTCCCAGCTCAAACCCAGGAGCCATAACCCCTTTGTATCCTTCTCAGACAACCTCCAACCTGTCAGCTCAGTATCGGTGTGCCCAAGTGTGTTTGACTGTCACAGAAATCTACGTGCTGTTCCCAGAGGCTGGGGGTCTATTTCTTGTTAAATTCATGTTGGATCATTATTCTAACTGCATTTGTAAATTTATGATCATTTCCTCACTGTTGCTGCCAAATTAATTCTGATAGCTATTTACAGGGGCTTTTTCTCCTAAGCATTATTAGACACCAATCAGTGAATCCAATTCATGAAAAGGCAATAAAATGAATACTACTTCAGCACAAGGAGGGAATGTAGAGAAAGTTTGTAAGTGAAATTAGCCATGTGCACTACACGAAAGTTTTGTTTACTTTTAAAACACTAAGAAAATAAAGTCTCTTCTGTAGTATTAAAAAGGTCTGTGCTTCTACTAAATAAGAGTACGCCTATCTACCCACAGCTTATCCACAGAAATGTCTTTCAACCTGCAAAATGCCAAGCCCCTGGGGATAAAAGCTTGCCAGAGAAGAATGGGGGGGGGGCACCATTTCTTCAGAAGCATCATCTAGAGAAGGATTTTGGCGTGGCAGCAAAAGTCTAAGCCAAAGTGGGTCACAGCACTTAGGGGAGATCATTCCCTATCTCGCAGGAGGTATGGCTGGAAATAGGGGACAACATGGAGGGTCCCAGGCGTAGGACCCTGCAAATCCTGCGGCTTCAGCGGGGCAGCAGCTTTGGCTCCCCGGAGCCTGCCAGCTCACAGCCTGGGCGCTCTCCCGGGAGGCTGACTCGCCCCTCCGGCCCCGAAACCCCGCTCCCCGCCCTCCAGGAGAAGGAGGGGGCGGCGGAGAGATACGGCTTCCCCCGAGGGAAGGCGGCGGCCGGGAACCAAAACTCGCCGGGGTGATGCCAGGGAAAAGCTGCGGGCGAGCGGGCGCAGCGCCCGCGGAGCCAGCCGGGTGTGGG